ATTTTTTTTCCCTGTAGGGGTAGTCAGCCCTTCCATTCCCATTTGTAAAAATCCAGTTCAACCACATTTCACACAGGCAGGACAGCTCTGGGTCAGACCTTGTAGCCTGGACTCCTGGCTACCTCGGCTGGCCTTACGACTATGTCAGTCAAACCCAAGCAGGGAGGGCCTGCTGAGGCTTGTCCTGAAAATCAGTAGGGCCCCTGGCTTGCATGGGAGGCTCGCCGGCAGCAGTGCTAACAGCTGTGCTGCAAGGAGTCTGGGTGGGAGGCAATGATGATCTATAGCCTTTTGGTTCTTCACCTGAAACACACAGAGCAGGAGAGGCCAGAAAGGGGAGGATGCCCACATCAGTTTCGTTTGAAACGTCTTCTTCTCCATGTCTGGCAGAGACGGCTACACCTGCCCAGAGCAGGAACGTGACCCTCCCCTGTAGGTGGCAAGCCTCACCTCCTGTACTCAGAGCTGTCTTAGTCTAGCCCTTTCAGTAGTCAGCCTCTACCCTCTCCCCTACCCCCCTGTTGCCCTGTTCACCCCATCCCTGCAACCTGGAATAATGGACACTGAGCACAAAAGTGCGTACTTCCAGGGTCACAGCCTGGGCTGGGCTTTTTTTTTTTTCTTCTTCTTCTTCTTCTCATACTTCCTGTATGAGGTTAGTTTTTTTTAAAACAATAAACAAACTAATTTTTTTCAACTTTTTTTTTTTTTTTTTTTGGCCTGGTTATCATTGCCTCCTACCTGTCCTGTTGTGAGTGTGTCTTGCTGGTGCTGTGCACCTGTGCCCTGGTGGGAAGGTGAACAGAACTCAGGGGCTGGTGGGCCTTGCACCCACCTCCCTACCTTGGGATGGCAGTGAGGGAAATGCACCTGGTACAAGCGGTTCTTTAAAACATTTATGTATTGATTTATTTACATTTATTTGGGAGGCAGAAAGAGAGAGAGAGAATACGCTCTTCCATTTGTTGGTTTGCTTCCCAAATACCTGGTCCAGGACAAAGCTAGGAAGCTGAACTCAATCAAGGTCTCCCACCTGGATGATGAGGCCCAGGTACTGGGAGCATCATCTGTTGCCTTCCAGGATGACCGTGAGCAGCAGGATAGAAGGAGAGCTAGGCGTCCAACCCTGCTACGGGATATGGGCCTTCCAAGAGTGGTCTTTACTAGCTGCTCCAAATGTCTATTCTTCCTGTTCTTCCAGGAGGAGACCTGGAGGGCAGAGGTTCCCCTCTCATGCTAACATTGCCTTAGCAGCGGGGCCAGCCTTGCAGAAGTCCTTTAGGCGAACTGCAATGTCATCTCTCCCAAGGTCAGTAAAAGGGTTTTTGAGGCTTAGTACTTTGAAAAGGAGCTTTATCTTGAAGGTGAAGGTCATGGCCAAGGTATGGGCATGGATGACTGGACCAAGAAGTCACATAATGAGGGTTGGCCAGTCCTTGTCTCTACCTTTCATAAGGGAGCATTTACAGATACCTCTCTGGACTCCAAAGGAGAAAATCCACAAGATCCTTCAAGGGACTTGGTGTTTGAACCATCTAGGGGCTCTTGGTCTTCCCAGAAGGTGGCACAGTAGCATGATCAGGGTGCTGGTTTGAAAGCTGGGTGCCATCATTCAACTGCTGCTATTTACCTGTTCCTTGTTAAAATCACCCTCTCCTTAGGTCCTGTCTGACTGGGTGACATGATTCTCTTGGTAATGGCCTAACAAGGCTTGTGCAATGCTTACCTGAATGCACCATAGCCAAGCACCATGTAAGAGGTATGATGTGCTCCATAAATACTGGCTAAGGGAATGTGCGTGTGTCAGGGAAGCCCTGGGACAGACTTATACCCTGAGCCTGGAGCAATGAAAGTTCTTACACGTACACACCATCTTTCAGAACCACGTGTAGGTCTATGCTAATGCAGGGAGCAATTCAGAGACTGCTTCTCAGGAGAGGTCTCCCTAGCCAACACACTCCTCAATGTACTCGCTGACACGTGCCCATGGCTCTGCCAACAGGAGGCCCCCATCAGGGTCAAGAGCTGGTGATGGTTGGTGATGGAGGAGACAGTGGATTTGGCTCATTCCCCTAGCCTGGCATCTCCAGCAACACAAAAGCCCAGTGATCTACACAAAGAACTCAACTCAGTTCACCCTAAAATGAATCTGTGTTGAGCAGTGAATGCTTCAAGAGGAATAAAACTGTGGCCCTGAGAGCTGGACACCTTGGTGTTTCTGAGTAGGCCCTCCTTTTCCTTTTCAACTATTTGGAAATCTAAAAAAGTTGGTGCCTGACGGCTGTGGGAATCCAGGAAGAGCCAACTTGTTCGCTTCCCACTGAGGCAGACCTTGGGGTTGCCGGGAGGGCAAGACAAGTTGTACTGCATCTTTAGTATGTCCTTTCCCCTTCACAGTGGCCAGGACCGGAGGGGAGCTTTCCATGCAATTATCATCAGCACAAAATGGAGTATGGTTTGGAAGCTAGTGCAGGGGGCCTGTGGAACGTGGGCTGGGCTGCATTTCAGCCTTAGATGAGGGCTTGTTTGGTGTGATGTGTAGGATCCCGAGATTAGCACTGTAGACACCACATCGTAGACCTGGGGCAAGTGCTGTGTACACACAGGGCCTCTGGGTGTTAGGGACCTGAGGCAGCACCAGCAACACAGCTCAGTTACATTGGGTAAGGGTGGCTCTCCATGTGACCAGAGTTCCATTAAAACTGTTCCAACCCTGGGGACGCACTGGGGCTCTGCCCTGACATCCCAGCACACCCAGGCACAGATGGGTGCCAGAAAATATTCATGAATATTGGAAAATAGGTGCATTTTGGTGCATAAAAAATCTAGGCATGTGAAGAATATTCAAAAAGTGTATTAGAAAAGAGGGCCATGGATTTTAGATTTTTTTTTTTTTACATCGACGCAGACATAGCTTTTCATTCTTTTTCATTTTCAGAAATATGACACAGAAAGCCATGTACGTGAAGGGCTCAGAATCAGGAACAAGATGTATACAGTTCCTAGACTGGCTCTCTGGTGGTTGTCCAGGGACAGCCAGAGAGCCAGGCCAACACGGAGGTGCCAGGAGTGCCACTGGCCATGCAGAAGCTCCTGTAAAGCCTAGCTGAGGCCTTGTGGGATAGTGCAGGAATTCAGAATCTCCTGAGTTCTGACCACCAGCCTACAGGGACTGGTGGGAAAGACCCTTCCAGTGTGACTTCCTCCTTCTGCATGCCTTGTTTTCTGTTACCTGTCTCACCAAGGGTCGACCAGATGACCCTCAAGGCCCCATTCCTTCTCTGCAACAGGTGCATACTGTTGAGTGTTCCATACCAGCCTGGGCTGTTCTAGCCTAGCTTTCATCCAACTTAGAGTGGGGGGTTACTGGCAAGGAGTGTGGGTTGAGGAAGCAACCTCTCTCCTTCAGCGATGACACTAAAGGAACCAGGCTTCCCTTCTACCCATGGCAGCCACTGGTGCGTGACTTAGTTCCTGTTTCTCTTTGCCCACCCAGGAAGGCACTGCATTTAAAATCCTAGGCCCACAGGCTGGATTGTGAGCCCAATTAGTAATGCCCAACCTGCAGGACTCCACATAGGAAGCTGATTTTTCCTCCAGGTCATGGGAGCTTCCTTCTAGGTTGTGTGGTTGTCAGAGTCAGCCGTGGTAGGCTCCCAGGGAGCAGATTCTCCTGGCTGCTGGTGAGTGAGACTATTAGGGAAAACCTAACAAAGCCCACAGGGGTTTCTCCCCTATGCTAACATGTATGTTCAAGACAGCAGGGAGAGGTACAAGGTGGAGTTTTCACAAATAGAAGCTCGTGATCACCACATATGTGACCATGCGGGAGAAGCTGTGCTCGCCAAGGATCTGGTATGCAACCTTCAGCAGTCTTTCCTAAAGCCAATCAGTGGAACTCAGCTGGCCTAGCCAGGGTGCAAGGCACATTCTGTCCCCCTCCCCCACCCCAGTATGGTTGGGAGTTGCACAGTAATGAAGTTCCCTAGCCTTCTCTGTTCCCCTTGCTTCTCACGTCTTCTGTGTGCCACTGTGCATCCTGACCGCTGTCTGGAGGAAGAATGGAGTTCTTCTGGAATCACACACCCTGCCTCTGAGGGACAGGGTCTGCTGATTGTCACAGTGAGCCAAGGGATGCCTTGTGGGCATGTGGCCTGCTGAGAGGATAGGGATGTACCCAAGGGTGTGCAGAGCAGTCCCAGGCAGAGCCTGTCCCTTCTCAGCCATCAATAGAATCTGGCCAGAAGAAAATAGCTGGCATTAGCTTCCTGCAACAGGATGCTGCTTGGGAGGCAGATCACACTGGGCTGGTCAGTAAAACAGTTACTAGTCAATCTAACTGGAGCTGATATGAGCCCTGTGCTGGCCTCAGGGCTTTTGCTTCACCAGAGGCCTGCTTCTTCATGGTTCTTCTGCCTTGCTGAGGCTGCTGCGGAGGATCTCAGCTGCTTGGGGTTGCCTCTTCTGTGTCTCCTGAGATGGGAAGAGGAAAGGTGACTTTGAGTCGGGGTTGGAATTCCAGGGTCACGCCTCATCAGGCCTCCTTGGGCCTTGGGAGAGAGGACAGGAGGGCTTCACCTGGGGGGACACTTGGGTGGTCCTGGAACTGCTTGTGTGACTCTCTGGCCACGTCAACAGAAGTTCAACAGAAGAGCCACCAGCCAGCCCCACCCTGAGCAGCAGCTGGCCCTGCCCGAGAAGTCAGAAGAGACGTCAGCGTCTCCGTGGGCAGGGTGGCCACAAAGAAACCAGCGGGAACAGTGGCCTTGCAGGCCTCCTCTGAATACTGTGTAAACAGATCCCCCTCCACCACCACCATCCTCAGCACCTGCCTATTTCTTTGGCTGTCACCGTTTGAATAGATGCTGATCAGTTTGATTCCCCAGCGTACAGTGGCATTTGTGACCTGTCTTTCCCTTCTCAGTTTCCATGCTCTACAGTGATTGTCGCTCTGTGCGGTTGGCAGTGACCTGTGTTTTTCATGCATGTTTTTGTTTCAGAATAACTGGGAGATGAAACAGGAAGCCCTATGACACACTTGATCGAAAATGACAGACACAGGAGAATCAGGACTCGGCCCCCTCCAGCACCTCCACCTGCTGCCTACCGAGGGACAGCCAGAGTGTATACAGGTGAAGAAGGGTTTCTCTGAGCTGAATTCTGACTACTGGGGACTCTGAGGGGGACTCCGCATTCACTGAGGCCATGTCTGCCATGCTTTGGTCTTGGGCTATTCTGCTCTATTTTGATGTTTGTTTGGCCAGGCTCAGTGCGCTGTGCTGTGATGGCATGGGATGAGATATGTTTCCTTTTCTTTCAAAAGCAGACCTAAACAGAATAGAATCATTTAAGTATCAGCTATTTAAGAAGAAAGAAAGAAAACACCAATTGAAAGGTTCCAGAGAGTGTTGGAGACTCATTTCTGTAAAGCCACAAGTCAGCCTTGTTACAGTTGTACAAATCATCACGGCGTTTGAAAGCAGATTTGAACTTGAATCTCATTACTCAGCTGTACCTGCCTTGTTCCTTCTTAGACTCTCTAGATCACCTCTCAGGAAGCTGTGTTCACTGGGATTCAAATGGAAGTCTGTTTCCTCACCTACCCTGATTGATCATGGGCCACCAACTGAAATCCGTGGGTTCCCAGCAAACCTGAGCTTTTGGTTGGAGACCTCTGCCTTTCTTTCTGTAGGGACCAAGACACTGCTGGAGGTGCTCACGTCCTCCATCAGGATGCCCAGATCTGCTTCTAATGCAGCTTTCTGCTAATGCTCACCCCAGGAAGCAGGAGCTGATCACTTAAGCAGTCAGGTGCAGTGTCGGTGCCTTCCCCATTGGTGACAGGAGCCAAGCACTTGAGCCATTTTTTGCTGCAGGAAATGCTGGATTAGAAGCAGAGGTGTCCTTGATCCCAGGTATTCTAACATTGGAGGTGGCCATCCCACTTGGCAGCTTGACCCTGCTGTGTCATGACCCTGTCCCAAGCATACTTGTGAGTGATAATGTTTGAGGTTTCGTACTTCTCACAAACAGTTTTCAAATGGGCCATGATGACAAGAACAGGTAAATGGCAGATATTACAATACATGTCCAGGTGTCAGCCCCAAAATTTCTACTCTGGGATACCTCCCTGGGCACCCTAACAATCCTGTCTCCTTCTGTCTCATGATCTCATTGCATTCTCTTTACAGAACTTACCAATATTAGCAATCATTCTGACTATGAATTAACTACTTCTCACTCTACTCCCCAAATTTTCGATTTCTGCCCTACCTATAGGGTGCAGGGACCCAAGCACTTGGGTCATTTTCCACTGCCTTTCCCAGGCTATTATCAGGGAACTGGATGGGAGTCAAAATAGCCAGGACTCAAACCTATTTGGGACTCAACTATTTGGCATTTGGGACTCAAATGCCTATTTGGGATGTAGGCATTGAAGATAGTGGCTTCACTTGCTGTTATGCCACAGTGTCGGCACCTAGGTATGGTCTGCTGGTTTATCCCCCAGTCTGCACACAGTGTGTGTCTCTGGGTTCAACAATCGTGGTGTCTGTTCCACTGCCTGGCTCCTTTTCAGAAACACTGTGCAGCTGAGTGGCCTGGTGTCTGACCATGGCTGGTGAATGAGGAAGCTCTGACCCCATCTCTGGGCTTGGCGAAGAGAGCAGCCAGGCTAGGAGGCAGCTGGTCCTCTGAGACATGGCCCTGCAGCAAAGGCTGATGCTGAATGGCCTGCTGTCTGAAGTGTCGGACAAAACACCCAGCTCATCTGAATAGTAGGTGTTCTCAAGTTCAAGGCCATTTGCTTCATTCCTGGATTCATCCTTACCAGGGTATACCTGGCTGCTGCTTCCTGCAACATAGCACCGAAAAGATCCAGTGGACTGGAGAGGGTCTACTGCACCATGAGGCCATGAGCCACCTCCTTTCCCTCTCTACTGGCTCTAGCTGGCTCTGGCAGATGGAGAGGTGGTACAGGAGGGCAGCATAGGCGGCAAGGACAAAGCCCCAGAGAGTGCCAAGGAACCTGATCATGGGGTGCAGATGCGTGCTTGCCACACAAGCCTAGGCTGGCTGCCTTTGAATCCACCTCTTGCCTTAGTGCAAGGGACTTCCATTGGGGAGCAAATCACCTCCTAAGTGTTTCCTCCTTCCCTGGGCTCTGGAGGGAATTAAGCCACACTTTCTGTCCATTTCCTCATCCAGCCCTATAGGAATGTTTATAGCTTCAAACAAAGGGAAGCCACAGGCTCAGGACCAATCCAAAGCAGCCCCCCTGGTATTTTCAGGACAACAAAAGGATGATGGGAGGAAGAGCAAGGGGGAACCAACCTCACAGATACTTGAACCACTCAGAAATCACAAGAAATCCAGGACACCCAGGGTCTAGCAGGACCTCTCCTAGCAGAATTAGAGTATGTAGGAGACGGACAGATGTATTTTTTAAAAGCTCCCTCGATGGCTCCCATGCATAGTTGAGACTGTTTACTATTGTAGCCATTAGCCACTGGTGTCTATTGAAAATTTACGGTGTGGCATCTGCCAACCAAGGCATGGCATTTTTCATTCTTTGCATATTATTTAAGTTTAAATATCCGCACATGGCTGTGGCTGCCGAATTGGAGGGTACAGACCAGATACAGAGCATATGGATTATCATAGAACATTCTACCAGACACATGATCTGGGGACCCCTGAGGGCTTAACTGACAAGGGAAGCTAGACTGAATCCAAGAAGCATGGGAGGTGATTCTGTCTGTTACCTCGAGGCCTGTCCTCCTGCTTTTGCCTGCAACTTTTGGAGCTGGAGCAATGGGGTTGCAAAGCACTGCCTTGAGGAATTGAAAAGGATTAGACATATCTGCAGAGATCAGTGGCCTGCATCTGTGTCCTCCATATCCACTCTGTTGGGGACTCCATTGGTCTCTTTGGAGGCCCAACCCTCGAAAGGGAGCTTTTTGAATTATGGCTTACTTACCATAATCCAGGAATTTAGAGTGGAGGAAAATAATTTTTGAAAAAGCTGACACCTCAACTGGGGAAGTTGAGAATTTTGAAATGAGTTTGGAGAAGAAGCTCTGCAAGCTCCACCGGTTTTGGGGTGAAAGATGGAGCAACAGAAGCCAAAGCTGAATCATTTTCTGCTTATCACTCTGAGGCTGTCAGATTTTCTTTTCTTTTCTTTTTTTTGGGGTGAAGGGAAAGCACCTTACAACAAATAAGAAGACTATTTTGAATTTCAGAGCTTTCCCTTTTTTGGAGCATTTTATTGTTTCTGACTTATTTTATCCTCAGAACAAGGGCCCAAGATAAGTAGGGGAAGGAGATGTACAGCAAATCCAGCACCCAGAGAGAGAGCTCAATATTGCAGAATGAATTTGAAAATGAAGGTTTTGTGTTTCCATCGTTGGTGTTGACTTACGACATGGTGGCGTACCTTGAATCACACAGATGGAATTTTGTACAGTTGGAGTGGAATGCATTTGTTTTCTTCCTTAAAATCGGTGACTTATCTATTTGTTGGAAAGACAAAGCTAAAGAGATTGGTGATAGATGGTAGATAGGTCATTTGTCAGTCTATCTTCCAGCCACTGGTTCACTTCCCAAATATTTGCCATAGCCATGGCTAGGCCAGGCTGAAGCTGGGAGACAAGCCCAGGTTCCTGATGTGTGTGACAGAGAGCATACAGCTGTCTCCCTCTGGGTGTACACTAGGACGGGAACTAGGACTCAAATCTGGGCACTCCAAAAAAAGGATGTAAGCACGCAAACAGTGTTTGAACCGCTAGGTCAAATTGCAGCCCGAGAGAGCTGTGTTTCTAGCAGAAGCATTGTTTTGTCTGGCTTCCTCCCCACTTTCTAATCCTTGGGCCTTGATTCTTTGGCATTATTTCTTGTTCAGAGCTTTGCTAGTAAATGTGCCTTTATGATCGTCTTGCAAGTTATTTTTGTTTGTTTTATACATGCAGAGACAGAGAAAAAGCTCGCATCTGTTCGCTGGCTTCCTCGGTCTCGGCAGTCCCTAGGGCTGGGCCAGAGTCGAGAACTGAGAACTCAATGTAGGTCTCCCACAGGATTGACAGCAGCCCAGTGACTTGAGCCATCACTGCTGTCTGCAATGGTAGGAACCTGGGAGCTATAGTGAGACCCAAGTTATCTAAGAGGGGGGCTGGGGACATTTTAGAACCAAGCAGTTAAACGCCCACTTTCACAAGCCATTAGCTATTTTGAGATGGTGAGTGGACCAGAATGCACAGTAGAGCCCTGTGGCTCTCCACGGCAGGCAAATCAACCCCAGGTGGACAGTGTCACCTTAAGAGCTTCAGCTTCCTTGCGTGTAGAGATGCAAAGAGCCATTCTGAACCAGCCTTGCCAGTGGTCAGCCAACACAGCAGCTCTGTCACCCTCATGTCTCCTGGGAGGCTTGGGCAGCGGGGCCGTCCCCGATGGCAATAGTGGGAGTAGGAGTGGGCGGGACTGACATAGCACCCACGGGCTGACCTTCTCTGCAGATGTTTCTGCTGCCTGTCAATCATGAGCTCGCCTGCTCTTGCCATCACCTGGCCCCTGTTTGTCTCTTACACACATAGGATCTGATGAGAGGTTTTCAAGTGCTTTACTGAAAGCAAGATGCACTTTCTGGGGCATTCCCCTAATCGGCTGTGCTGGTGAGCCTCGTCAAAACAGGAAATGAGGTTAGCATGGAATGACTTTCTCTAGAGAACTGGTGCTGCCTCTACAGACTACCACTTTCTTCCCAAAAGCTTGCGAGCTAGGTTGCACGCCTTCTTAGGGTTTTCCTGGAAGCTAGCCGGAATCTGGCCTGCTGTAGTTTTTGAGAAACCCATTCTAGAACACGGGGGCGATGTCTCTGGTTCCTGGCCTTCCAGTCCTACTCTCTTTCAAGCTGCCGTCGCTAAGTCTATCTGAAGTTAAATGTGTAAAGACCTCAAACACAAGAGACACGTTGAAGCCAAGAGCACTGTGCAGGTGCCCCAGTGTGGGTGAGGGGTCACCAGGGCCACGTGCCATGGCTGTGTCTTCAACCCACGAGTGCCCGGTTTATCAGAAAATCCAGTGGAGACAGAAATTGAGCAGGGGCAATCCTCCACTCTCCTGTCCTGCTCCATGTGTAAGCGTCTGGCTTAGAAACACTTTTGTGACTGAAATGACAACTGCACCGACTTCATTGACGCGAATCCCCATGTTGGGTTTTCTGACTCAGTTTTCAAAAGCTGTAGGGGTTTCACTAGGCAAGCTGTATCATGCTTCAGCCGTGCCTGAGGTTTTCTGGCAAATAGCTGTACTTTTAAATTCCCAGAGCCTGCTGGAGAGAGTGGCGGCCCTTGACCAGCAGGTGCCTGGGGAGGACTGTGGTCTCCAAGTTCTAGACTTGGATTTCACATTGCGGATCCCCCTGCCCACATCACTGTGCTCTCATGTCTGAATGCATGGATCTGCTCCTTTTGCATATGACTTGGCAGGACCCCCTTATAAGTTATCCTGGCTGAGATGGGGTAGACTCTGGCTCCCTCCCCTTCAGTCTTGAGGGGACCTGTCTTGCACTCCCCGAACATGGAGGCACCTCTATTTTCAGTGATAATGGGCTCAGTGGATGTATGAGTGGATGTACCCCTTTATAACAATCGCAGCTACCACCAGTTGACGTTCCAGAGAGCTCTGCAGGCGACTATGGAGTTTCCAAAATGATGTCTACTCTTTGTAATGGGCCCCATCGTGAGGTTGTTATCCTCTGGTTTGATTCAGAAAGCAGAGCTTTTGGGTAGGAGTGACCAATCTTCTGCATAACCAAAACTTGATAACTGGGCCAGCCTTGTGGAACAGCCGGTTAAGCCACTGTTGGCAACACTAGCACCCCATATTGGAGTGTTGGTTTGATCTGATTCAACTTCTGCTAAAGCACTTAGGGAGGTGGCAGATGACAGCCCATGCCACCTGTGTGGAAGACCTGGGTGGAGGTCCTGGCTCCAGGCTTCAGCCTGGCTGGTCTAGACTGGGCTGTTGTGTTGAGGGTAGTAAACCAATGAATGAAAGAGTTCTCTCTCTGCCTCTGACACTATGTCTTTCAAATATATATTTAAAAAACTCCTGGTCCTGTGATGTTGCTTCTCTTAACTTCCCTCTGTCCAGAACAGGCTGGCTCCACCCCATCTCCTAATTATGCTGACTCTGGGCATTTCAGGAGCATGTACATGAAAATGCATGTTTCCTTAAAAAGAACCGTGATTGGTGAGCTGCAGTTGGAAAAGGAGACACCAGGAAGTAAGTGTAGACCAGGGCGGAAGGGAATGGGAACCCATGCTTGGTGCTGAATCCTCTGCACCCCACCCACGCAGGTCTTTGTTGGCCCTGCCTCCTGTCAGAGTGTGTAAGGACCCACAGGGGCAAGGTGGCAGGCAGGCAGGCTCTGAAAACTCCCTACTACTCAAATGATGGTTGCTCGGCAGAGGCTTCACTTTCTGCGTTTTGAGGGCCAGGCTACTCCTCTTTTGACATGTGCCCTGCACAGGTGCTGAGTAAATGCTGGCAATGTGGGTTTGGCCTACCTTCTTCTGAGGCTGTACTCACAGAGAAATCAGTCAGCGGTTCCTGAAAAGCATGGAGTGGGCCTGTGCCATTTAAAAATCAAAGGTGTGGAGCCCAGTGCAGTGGCCTAATGGCATGCATGCACCAGTCCCATATAGGTGCCAATTCATGTCCCAACTGCTCCACTTACCATCCAGCTCCCTGCTTGTGGCCTGGGAAAGCAGTAGAGTATGACCCAAAAATCTTGGGACCCTGCACCTGCGTGGAAGACCCGAAAGAAGCTCCTTGCTCCTGACTTCAGATTGGCTAAGCTTCAGCCATTAGGGAGTGAATCAATGGATGAAAGATCTTTCTCTCTGTCTCTTCTTCTCTCTGTAAATCTGCCTTTCCAATAAAAATAAATAATTAAAAAATAAAAGAGAGACTCAATGCTGTGGATAAACCAGGAGAAACGTTCTACTTGCTGCCACGGGAGGAGAGAAGGCAGAGCTGGGGGCAAGAGATCCTTAAAGGTGATGAGTCTCAGCACTAATTCCTTCTCCATAGTGAAGCTGCAGAAGGCAAATCTGTAGTTAGTGACCCTGGTCCCCTTGGGGGAGATGGTGATGCTCCCCAGGGTGATCCTGTTCTCGGCTGTTAGAAACCATCTTCATGTCCATCAGTCATTTTCAGCACTGCCCACCTCTCTCAGTCATGTCATGGTTTGGACAATACCTAACTGGTGAGCATGTGCTAGCCTGAGGTTACCTTCTGTTTCCTCATCTCCCTAAAGAAGCTGCTTGACAGAGCACTAAGTCTGTAACAGCCCAGTCATCTCTGTAAGAACGAAGGGTGTGTGGCCATCCATCTGTACTTCTGGCAGGTTGCTTTAGTGCGAACAAAGGCAGCAGGAGGGGAGTGAGAATAAATGTATGTAACTAAGCATGTGTTTTGTGTGTATGTGTGTGGCATGGCCATGTGGGTCTTGTGCAATATGCGTGTGACATGGTCATGCAACACAAATGAGGATATGGAGTAAACAGCTGGTGCAGGTGTGTCCGGGGCACATAGGGTGTGTGTATGTGGGTTGGCTGTGGTATGACATGTGTATGATGTATGTGCATTGTATGTGGCTGGGTGTGGGTATTGCGTGTCTGTGTGGTGGCTGAGTGTCTGGAAGGAGTCTGTGGTAGCTGTGGGGAGTGGTGCTGTGTGCACCACCTGTGGTAGGCGTGTGGGGTACAGTTGGCTGTCTGTGACATACCAGAGTCACACACCCTTCCTGAACTTGTGAGAGGACACAGGTGTGTACCATCTGGAGATGCACATACACATAAACTCATTGTAGGCACCTCTTGTAAGAGAAGTCTTACACTCAGGGTCTCCCTGATGCCCACCTATGTGCACTCATGGTTGCTGTCACAGCACTGCCTACTTCACCCTACTGCAGGCAGTGACATGGCTTCACAGGGTAAAGGCAGACACTGGCTTCATTATGCTGCCCAGCTGGGTCCTGGCAAGCAGTGGGACCCTAGGAAGGATGCGCCTGGGGCAGAAATCTCCAAGTGGAAATCTTCCTCTGCCCTGCTTGAGTCATGCCCAGGGGCATGGGCCAATTCTTGTGGTTCTCAATGTTCTGTCTTGTACCTGTCATGAAGGAGACAGGAGCTGGCTCCTGCAGTGTTCGGGGCTGCTGGCGTACCCAGCATGGATTCTGCTGTAGACACTGCAGCCTCCGTCGCTCTGCTTGGAATCCAGCTCCTAGAAGGCAGTAAAGGATAGCCCAGAGACTGCAACTCTGATATCTACTTGTGAGACCCAGCTGGAGTTCCAGGCTCTTGGCTTTAGCTTGCCCCAGTCCCAGCCACTGCAGCCAAGGGATTGAGGGCCTCTCTCTCTCACTCTCTCCTATCATTCTGCCAATATATAAATTAATTAATCTTAAATATATATATATAGCACAAAGTACCCAGTCAATAAATAGTAGCTTTCATTAGTATTATTTTAAGCATAAAAAATGGAGTTTAAAAAATATATGTATCGGGCCCGGCGCGGTGGCGCAAGTGGTTAAAGGTCCTCGCCTTGCACGCCCGGGATCCCATATGGGCGCCGGTTCTAATCCCGGCAGCCCCGCTTCCCTTCCAGCTCCCTGCCTGTGGCCCGGGAAGGCAGTCGAGGACGGCCCAAAGCTTTGGGACCCTGCACCTGCGTGGGAGACCCGGAAGAGGCTCCTGGCTTCGGATCGGCATAGTATCGGCCCGTTGCACTCACTTGGGGAGTGAATCATCGGACGGAAGATCTTCCTCTCTGTCTCTCCTCTCTGTATATCCGCCTTTCCAATGAAAAAATAATAAAAATAAATCTTTAAAAAAAATATATATGTATCTATCACAAATTAGTAAAACCTGTCATTAGTGGAACCACTCTGACACTGTCCTGTGAAATAACTCAAGAGGACAAGGTGGAGTGGGTGGTAGGCCTGGTAGTTAAAGCACCAAGTTAAGATCCCTGCCTCCCATCCTCGAGGGCTGAGGTTGGCTATGTAGCTCTGGCTCCTGCCTCCACTTTCTGATGAGCCTGGGAGGCAGTGATGATGAGCCAAGTCGTTGGAGTCCTGCCGCCCGCCTGGAGACCTAGGTTGAGTTCCCAGCTCATAGCTTCTGGCCCTGCCCTGCCATGGGGGAATGTGAAAAGCGATCAGGCAAAGGGAACGTGCCCTCAAATAATTAAAAAAAAAAATGTATTTTTAAGGACCAAGAAGGAAGGGAAGGCAGCAGACTTAGGGAAAAGAAAAAAAGGAAACAGTGGCAGAACATGAGAGAGTGGGAGGCCTGTCCAGGCTGGCTCATGTTCCCCTCCACCAGTGAGCAGCAGGGTCAGGCCAGGCTCCTGTCTGGGCAGGGTGGAGCCATGCTATGGGAGCAGGAAGGGCTCGAATATACACAGGGTAATGGCTGTTTCCTCTTGAGCTTTTGTGGTCCCGCATTCCTGACAGTCTCCCAGCTGCTGACCCGCATGTTTGCCCACACCTCTCTCCAATGCCACCTCTCTTTCTCCAGATCGAAGGCCGACAGAGTGTCCTGGTGTGCAAGAACTGTCCACCCAGCCCATTGTCCAAGATTATCTGGTGATGACATAGAACAACACTCCGCAGCAGGACAGGGAAGTCCAGGCTTCCATTCCTGCCCTATGGCTCACTAAAGGTGGGACTGAGTGGCTTCCAGACCTTGTGGGATCTGGGATCACAGCCAACAGTGCTGGCATCCTGTGTGAGTGCCACGTCCCAGCTGCTCCACTTTCTTTCCACTCCTTGCCAATGTGCCTGGGGAAGGCAGCGGAAGACAGTCGCAGGACTTGGACCACGTCACTCACATGGGAGACCAGGAAGGAGTCCCTGGCTTCTTTGGCTTCAGCTTGGCCCAGCCCTGGTTTGGAACCCAGCAGATTGAAAACTCTGTCTCTCTCTCTGACCTTTATCTGACTGACCTTCTGTTCCCAATCATATCTTATCTTTGTTTGTAAATCATTAGTACCCTCTTCCCTTTTCTCTAGGTTCATTGCTTGTTTGAGTGTTTCTCTCTCTCTCTCTCTCTCTCTCTCTCTCTCTTTCACACACACACACACACACACACACACACACACACACACACACACGTCCATCCTGCACTGAAGCATAGCGATGACAAGGTCTGCCACCACTTGGAGGTTCTGTCTGGAAGATCTGGGCTGCTGCTACCAGAAGACTTCGCCTTACAACCCAATTGTCCCTGTAGGTAAACAAGATAAGACATGAGGTAAACATGAAAACCAAGGGAAATCTCATTGATTTTCCTCCCTGCCTCCTTCCCAGTTGACAGAGATTGATACACTTGATGACTTGTTTCTGAGGCTGGCTGTGTTAATAAAATCCTGCTGAGAAAGTCCGTTTCCTGTGATTAATGCTGTCTGCTTTATTCCCTGATGGATTTCAAGTCATTTCAACTGGAAAACGGTGTTCTATTTTAAGATGCTTTTGTAATCTTGAAAACCTCGTTTTCTCTCGTGTTGGTGCCTGTCACCCTTGCTCTTGTTGGTTGCTTGGTTCTTGTTTCTAGTGTGCTCTTCTTTGTGGGACCACGTAGGTAACATCAAGGTCAAAGTTCTGTGGTCAGAGAATGAAATGGGCGATTTTAAGTCCAAGTCTTTCTAGACAACACTACAGAACATAGTTCCCAAATGTGTGCATGTGTATGTAGTTTTACTTTAGGGAAGTTCTTTGTAAAATCATGTAAATTCGTGCAGTCACTTGCATGACTTTTTTTTTTTTGCACCAGAATAAATTTGTCTTATAATTTCATTGACCATAAATTTTAAGTCCTCTTACATAAATTGTGCATGCCTCATTATGAAAATGACTTTAAAATCTTTCTCCTATTGGTAGTTTGATCTAATAATAATGATGATGATAATGGTGATGATGATGATAAAGCAGTGGTGGCCTTGGCATCTCCCTCAGTTTTTCTCTGTCCCTCTCCCTGTAAAAAGCTCCCCCTGCTTGCTGTCCTGCATGTCACAAATCTGGGGCTTTTCCTCTGAGTCCAACTTGATGATTCTTGCCTTTTGTTTCAACTGGCAAACATGCATGTTTTCTAGTGATGTGGTTGGAGAGGATGAGGCAATTACCCACCCGAGATCTATCGGACCACAACCATTGCAATCACACACACACGACTGAAAACTAAGGCATCATCTGAAAGCCAAGGTTGCAGAAGCAGAGGGTCCACTCTTGGGTTCTCTGCCCAAAAGTAACACATTGGAATGTCACTCAGTTCTTCCTAGCACCCATACAAAGAGGAAGGTTTTCTATTCAGTGTGGCTGTGGTATAAATAGAATCTCCTGTGAACCCTTCTAAATTCAAGAAAAAATGCATCTTTCCATCGAATTGATGTGGGAAATTAACATTGTCTGAAAAAAAATCTACAAACAAATATTCTTCTATAAACATCCATGGCCCGATGGAACAGATGGAGTGATGAGGGTGGGCACTTAATCATGCAGTTAGGATGCCAGTTAAGATGCTTCTGTCCACATTAGAGTTCCTTGGTTCAATGTCACCCGCTGGCTCCCAACTCCAGCCTCCTGTTAATGCAGACCCTGCAGGCAGTACGGATGATTCATGCCATTGGGCTCCTACCACCACGTGGGAGACCAAGATGAATTCCAAAATCCTGACTTTGATCTTTGCCACAGTGGGCATTTGAATCACAATATTCATCATCATTATTATTTTTTTAAAGAAATTATTTATTTTACTTGAAAGAATTAGAGAGGCGGGGAAGACAAAGATCTTTCTTTCATCTACTGGTTCACTCTCCAAATAGCCAGAGTTGGGCCAATCTGAAGCTGGGAGCCAGGAGTGTTTCCTTGGTTTCCCATATGAGCACAGGATTCCAGGGCCTTAGGCCCTTGTCTGTTTTTTTCTTGGGCCCTTAGCCAGGATTTGGATCAGAAATGGAGCAACTGGGATTTGAACCAGTGCTCATATTAATGCTGGTACAGCCAGTGGAGGATTAGTATAGACACCACTGCGCTGGCCCCCAACAAGTAGTATTTTTTAAAGATGAAGAAAAGAAGATTCAAGTAACTTGTCCAAAACTGTAGTCATTACGAAGCAGCAAAGCAGAAGCCAGTGTTGTGGTACAGTGGGTTAAGCCACTATTCACAATGCCAGCACCTCTTAGTACAGCACCAATTTAAGTCCTGGCTGCTCTGTCTTCCAATCCAGTTCCCTGCCAATGTGCCTGGGAAAGTACTGGAAAATGGCCCCAATTTTTGGGCCATGGAGTCCCGAGTTCTTGGCTTCAGCCTGGCCTTTGTGGCCATATAGGGAGTGTACCAGCAGATGAAAGATTTCTTCCTCTCTCCTTCCCTTTCCCCTCTTTAAATCCTTAAAAAAAAAAAAAAAGAAAAAGAAAAAGAAAAAGTTACAAAGCCTCTGCTCAGAGTAAGTCAATTTAAGCAAACTACTTGAAACATGAACTCCATGTGTGGAACAGTTTTGTGTAAGTTGGTATTATTGTCTCCAACGTATCACCAATACACAAGGCCTGAGGCCAAGTTCTATCTCTGAAGACCAGGGCAACCAGAATGAAAAGCCATCCGTGCCTGACTCCATTACACCCGGGCCAGGGTGGGAAGATGAAGGCTCCTGGAGCACCTGCAAGCTCATGCCCTTCATTGCTTCCTTGTCTAGGGGCAGAATGCACATTCCTCCTGCTGCACGGCTCACAGAAGGCTTACCATTCATGTGGCAAGAGCCGGGGACTGGCAGGTGCCCCCTGCTTCATGCTCGGAGACCCTAAGGAAACACCTGCCTGGACTGCCCAAGGCGGAAATGGAGAAAGCAGCTGGACAAACTTGAAAAATGGGAGCCCTCATTGTTCTGAAGCCGACAGCCACAGCTCTAAGTGTGACCCGGGAACTCCGAAAGGTGGAGTTCTCCCCTGGGAATGTGGAGCTTTTGTTTGGGGAATCCTTGAGTGCAGTGCTTGGGAGGTGAAGGCGGAGTTCAATGGCTAGATGTTTCTATTCAACATTGTGCACTGAGAATCTTGGATAGGACAGCACGGTCAGAGGATGGCATGGTAACCAGCGACACCTGCCCTTGAACCTTGAACCCAGAATAGGAACGATGGCTCTGTCAGCTCCCATCATCCTAAAGGCTGCTTCTCAAAGGTTCTGCACACTCCCACACAAATTGGGAACCTGATCACTGAAGGCTGATGGTGTGTTTTGAAAAGGGATGGTGGGATGGAGGGTGGAGGGAGGGGTCATTCGTTCCCTGTGAGTTCCCATCCATTGTTGAGTAAACATCATAAATCCATGGCCCAGACACAGGCAGTCTGTGCTCAGATTACCTCCTCCTACAATTTTAGCTTCACATTTTAATGCCCTAAACATGAACAACATCAGATCCCAGCACAGGTCTGATTAACGAGGCGACTTTGCCAACTTGAGGGTCGCAGAATGGTTCCCCACAACCCGCACCCCCACTCCCTACAACCCTTCTTTTTTTTTTTTCCCCCTGTGGCTTAGTAACCACTTCAGCAAATTTCCCCATTAAATATACAAGGCGACTGAGTGCAATAAAATCTAAAGGATGTGGCAGATAAACACCAGCGTCTCTCCAGACAGACTTCGCCGGCTGACAGAGAGCAGGTCTGTTCAGGTTTGCCCTGAGGAATCCAGAATGTTCCATCATTAATTTCAGTGCAGAAGTCACACCACACCTTGCCGTTTGCCCTGGGGTTATCTTGGGTCTGTCCATCACACTCACTGGCCCATTTGTGTCCCAGGCATGGTCTGTACAGGGTAAAGCCACACATGCTATGTCCTAACCAATGGCCTGCATGTGTGAGAATGCACACTTAAGAGGGGCCACATGTGAGTACTGTGTCTCGTTCAAACACCCTGCAAATATGACTTGAGACTCTGGGAAAATTCCTGGTCAGCTCTTACTGCACACGGGGCATTGTTCTTAAGAGGAGTTGCCAAGAGACTGGCATGGTGGCATAGTAGGCTAAGTTTCCTGCTGCAGCACTGCCATCCCATATGGACACCAATTCATGTCCTACCTGCTCCACTTCCCATCCAGCTCCTTACTTCTAGCCTGGGAAAGTGTGGAGGATGACCCAAAGCCTTGGGACCCTGCACCCACATGAGGGACTCAGAAGAGGCTCCTGGTTTTGGATTAGCTCAGCTCTGGCCTTATGGCCATTTGGGGAATGAAGCAGCAGATGGAGGATCTGTCTCTGTCTTTCTCCCTGTGTAACTCTACCTTTCAAGTAAAAATAAAGCTGTATTTTAAGATGAGAGTTGCCATACCTCCAGCCCTGGCTGAAACCAGCCAACAGGTGGCCTGCATGCTCCGCACACACCATCCCATCTGCTCTTCACAATGATTCGGTGCAGCTGGGGCCGTTATTGCCTAGCACCTAAATTCCTTGCTTTGAACGCACTGGGATCCCATATGGGCACCGATTCTAATCCTGGCAGCTCCACTTCCCATCCAGCTCCCTGCTTGTGGCCTGGGAAAGCAGATGAGGACAGCCCAAAGCTTTGGGACCCTGCACCGTGTGGGAGACCCGGAAGAGGTTCCTGGCTCCTGGCTTCGGATTGGCTCAGCACTGGCCATTGCGCTCACTTGGGGAGTGAATAATCGGACGGAAGATCTTCCTCTCTGTCTCT